TTGTTAAAATAAAGAGAGGACTTTTTGCACAAGGTATTGTACTTACTTTCATATATTCCTTTTGCAGAACTTTATAGATGACTCTACATGTTTCGGGAATTATGCGACCTAATGATTGCGGAGAAATGCCACTACTGAATTTTAAACATTCGTAGCTTCTTCCAGTAGCTAAGAATCTTAACGTTACAATAAGTCGCTCTTCTGCTGGTATACTATCTCTCATTTGAGTATTTTGTTTTTGTATATATGGGCCAACTAATTTCAACAACTTGTCAAACACGTCTGCACTCATCCTTAGGTAATTTTTGAAATCGTCGGGTTCATTTCTTTTTAGTTCTTTCAAAAGCTTCATATCGCCGTATTTCGCTCGTTGCAGTAACCATGTTTTGGACCAGGCACGTCTTTTCTTTTTTCTTTGTTGCTTAAAAACGAAGCCTTCACTTACTAACCCAGCACATGTGATAGCAATAATTCTTCGTCTTCTTTCCATAAATAATAATAATGCAAAATAGAAAATTATTTAATATTTTTTTATATAACCGCACTAGTACTCAGCACTATACACTCTGTAAATTTATCGTTTCACAATTAGCAAAATCCTTTTGTCAAAAGTAAAGTGATCGATCGTCAGGATAGATGTGTCTAAAAATGATAAATTTACACACTAACCAACATGCTTTCCGTACAGATCCACTTTTAGGAAGAAAGATTGCAGAAAATATATTTTACGTTAGTGTGCTGTAACAGGATTATTTTCCTCATGAATGTGAGATGACAAGTCTAACAGGAAAATACGACAAGAAAGATGGTAGGAAACAGTTTGTGTTAGTGGGTGATCAACAGATTTTTTTCCCTTTGGTAATCTGACAGGAAAAACCGTCAACGGAAAGAACTGCATGAAAGAACGCTAGTGTATGGGTAGCTATTACACTACATGGACTGCTAGTCCTCATATGTTTTCCGTTGTCTACAGTGCTCAACTGTGACGTCACGTGTCTGAGCGAACATTGCCGACGACAATCGCGTGCTCTCCCGATTGATTAAATGCCATATGTCGTATGTTACGTGCCTAACTTAGGCCTTATAATATATAAACCGATTTTAACAGGTGGATTCGATTTTATGTACACAGGCGAAATATTATTAATATAATTTCTTACAAAATTATCTAAATAAAATAAAACATATGACATATGACATTTGAGCCGGTGGAGTTGGTAATGTTCGCTCAGACATGTGACGTCACCTTTCGCACTCGCAATTTTCAAGCACATTTCTTTATTTGTACAGAACTGATAGTATTAAAAGAAACTTTTAATTTTATTATCTGGCAACACTTTATTTGTACCACTATCGGCCAACACTATAAGCGTCATTATCTGGCAATACTTATGTCACAATACTTTAGTTTCGTTCCAGAGTTAAAGAAAAAATATTTTTGAATAGTTTTATTTAATAGTACTAATAGTTATAAGAGTAAATTCTGTGTCGTGAATTTTTTCTTGTTTTTTGTATTACTTCTTAATTAAAATTTTAAATATAATATTTTTTATATTACACTATAACTGTAATACAAAAGTACTTTTAATAAAGATTGAATGATAAATAATTACATTCAATATATTATATTTTCATATGAATTGATATTTTTAAATAATTTGTTGGATTTTTTTTTCTTATCTGGCAACACTTTATAAGTTTTAGTTTACTGTATATGGCAACACTTACAGATGACTAAGAGTATAGATTTTAATGAACGACTCTGAGGAATACTAATATTATTAATGAAAATGTCTGGAATATTTATTTTATCGTGATTATAATGTTATAATTTTATACAAATCAATATAGTTAAATAATTTGCGGAATTTTTTTTCGTTATATGGCAACACTTTACAGGTTTTATTTCACCTTATATGGCAACACTTGAGATGATTAAGAGTATAGGGAGCATCTTATTTATAAAAATGAGTGGAGTGCTTATTTTAATGTGATTATAATGTTATAATTTTATTTAAATCAATATTTTTAAATAATTTATGGGATTTTTTTCGTTATCTGGCAACATCTGTAAGTTTTATTTCACTTTATATGGCAACACTTGAGATTATAAAGAGTATAGAGCTTAATGAACGACTCTGAGGAACATCTTATTTATAAAGATGACTGGAATATGTATTTTATCTTGATTATAATGTTATATAAATCGATATTGTTAAATATTTTGTGAGATTTATTTCGTTTTCTGGCAACACCTTATAAGATTTATTTTGCTTTATATGGCAACACTTGAGATAATATCTTTTATTATTTTATCTTAGTTTATGTAATTAAATAATATTCTTACATTCTGTATTATGTAATTTTGTGTTATTAAATGCAATATGTATTATACTATATATTGTAATTTATCCATATTATGTGTATAATAATTGTATTTTTAAGTCCTCGTGGAACTATATGGGCTATATGTTTAAAATAAATAATTAAGAGTATAGGACTTACCAATCGGCTCTGAGGAACACCTTATTTATAAAAATGACTAGAATACATATTTTATCCTGATTTTACATAAAATATAGAAAAAGAGCAAAATTATAAAATATATAAAAAAATAAAAAACTTTATTCATTTTAACTCTATTTAAAACGTACTATTTTGAGACAAGTGTTGCCGGATTATGATACAAATAAAGTATCATCAGAAAACGAAATAAATCACTTTAATCAAAGAGATCGATTTGTACCAATAATTAAGAATTAATAATTTAATCTTAACTGTGTACTTTTTTTAAAATTCAAATCTCTCGAAACATTTTTTATTTGTTATCACATCGTTAACAAATATTCTATACAAACAATGCTATAATATATTTTTCAACAATCTTTTACCTTATGCAATTAAAAATCTCTCACGGCCAGATCGTAATCTACACGCGAAAATACACCTATTTAACATATACAATTATTATTATACAATTTTTATTTTATTTTTCTACAACATTTCGTAACATCTGTACGAATGATAAATTTAAATTTACATTAAATAAACTCGAAGTACATTGTCATTTGTTTTAATTCTCGTGCGAATGTCGGATACAGTTTTTGTGCTTGAATTTCGCACACTTTCTCACAAATGGCACTTTGACGTGTCGAAACCGAGGGAAATTTATTGTGATAAAAGAATTTTACAATTGAAGTAAAACTTCTTGAGGTAACTGGTTAGGCACGACTTACTTAACAATGTTTTAATCGATATTTTTCATTTAATTCAAGACAAATAAATGAAAAACTTATAGAAGGACAATTGTCAACCGAAGAGTCAAAAATAATTAAGTTTATAAAAAAATAAGTTCACCAAAAGGTAATTGCAACCGAACGATTACAATCAAAATTTTTCTTATACTCAACACAAATATTACAAACAGTAGGTCCTAAGATACCGCCTTGAGGAACACCTTTACTTATATTTCCCCATCTCCTTGGGTTTTCTTAAATTTCTAGATATTATGAATAAAATTGAATATACTAATCATGTAATTCTATTTTAAATGCATTTAATATTACCATAAAAATAAAATTTATTTAAAATATCACAAAACAGTCGAGCCTAAGAATCGTCCTTGAGGAACACCTTTACTTATATTTCTCTATCTGTTTGTGTTTTCGTAAATTCCTAGATGCTTCGGACGAATTTAAATATACTAGTTATGTAATTCTATTTTAAATATATTTAATATTACCACAAAAATAAATATATTTAAAATGCCACAAATCAGTTGGGCCTAAGAATCGTTCTTGAGGAACACCTTTACTTATATTTCTCTATGTCTTTGTGTTTTTTTGAATTCCTACATGTTTTGGACGAATTTGAATACACTAATGATGTAATTCTATTTTAAATACATTTAATATTACCGTAAAAATAAAATATATTTAAAATATCACAAAACAGTTGAGCCTAAGAATCGTCTTTGAGGAACACCTTTACTTATATTTTTCTATCTCTTTGTGTTTTTTTGAATTCCTAAATGTTTTGGACGAATTTAAATATACTTATCATGTAATTCTATTTTAAATATATTTTATATTATCACAAAAATAAAATATATTTAAAGTACCACAATATAGTTGGGCCTAAGAATCGTCCTTGCGGAACACCTTTACTTATATTTTTCTATCTATTTGTGTTTTCTTAAATTCCTAAATGTTTTGGTCGAGTTTGAATATACTAATCAAGTAGTTCTATTTTAAATATATTTAATATTACCATAAAAATAAAATATATTTAAAATATCACAAAACAGTTGAGCCTAAGAATCGTCTTTGAGGAACACCTTTACTTATATTTCTCTATGTCCTTTTATTTTCTTAAACTCCTACATGTTTCGGACGAAATTAAATATAATTATCATGTAATTCTATTTTAAATATATTTAATATTACCATAAAAATAAAATATATTTAAAATATCACAAAACAGTTGAGCCTAAGAATCGTCTTTGAGGAACACCTTTACTTATATTTTTCTATCTCTTTGTGTTTTTTTGAATTCCTGTTTTTTGGACGAGATTAAATATACTAAATAATAAATGTTATTTTAAATATATTTAATATTACCACAAAAATAAAATATATTTAAAATATCACAAAACAGTTGAGCCTAAGAATCGTCCTTGCGGAACACCTTTACTTATATTTTTCTATCTCTTTGTGTTTTCTTAAATTCGTAAATGTTTTGTACGAGTTTGAATATACTAATCAAGTAATTCTATTTTAAATGTATTTAATATTACCATGAAAATAAAACATATTTAAAATACCACAAAATAGTTGGGCCTAAGAATCGTCCTTGAGAAACACCTTTACTTATATTTCGCTTTCTCCTTGCGTTTCCTTAAACTCTTACATGTTTAGAACGAATTTAAATAAACTAAATATGTAATTCTATTACAAATATATTTAATATTAATTTTATTAATTTTAATATTTTTTTTCCAGGTGAGTGCAAGTCAAAGACACTGCCCAGAACCGAACGATCGAAAAATGCAGGTAAATGCATTTGCAATTAAATTAAATTTCTTTCTATTTATATATGTATTTATTTTTATGTGTCGTTTTTAATAATCGTAATTATGTCAATTACTACTTGCCGTATCTAATTGTTAATTGTATTAAATTAATTTGTTATAAATAATTGATGTACACGGTAAAAGAATGCAAAGAATTGTAATGGGCATTGATGCGAAAGTTAAATTGTAAAAATGATAATTTTCTTTTTTTATTCAAATAACTAATTATTTGTCAATTACTTAAATTAAAAATATTATCCTTGTTCTATTATATGATATTTTTATATGCAATCAAAATACCACAAAAAAGAAGGGCCTAAGAATCGTCTTTGAGGAACACCCTTACTTATATTTCTCCTCCTTGTGTTTTCTTAAATTCATAGTTGTTTTGGACGAAATTAAATATACTAATCATGTAATTCTATTATAAATATATTTAATATTACCACAAAATTAAAATATATTTAAAATGCCACAAAACAGTAAAGACTAAATATCGCCTCTGACCTAAGTTAGTAAGAGTCTATAACCTAAGTTGGATGTAAACGCATATAATGAGCCAAAAAAATTTGAAATCGGTTCAGCGGTTTAGGAGTACATTGAGGACAAACATCGTAACAATATATTCTTTTTTATCCACGTGATCTATAAAGTCAATGGCCCTTAGTGCATCATCATCTTGTGTTATAACTAACTGTATTATAAAATTGCATTATTCATATCCACACATGGCTTATAATAACAGTCCGGTTATAATGACGATTTAGGTCACTATATGCGAAAATTCTTCAATTTTTTCCTAATTTTACCATGTTTGATGGCGTTCGTGCAGATTTTTTATTATTAATTATTACTATTATTATTAATTTAATTAAAATGATGAATTACTATGGCGTGTTAGTTTGCAATAACCGCGGCAGCACACTTGATCAGTGAGTTTGCTGCTTTTGTTAATGATTGCCGAGTTTCTTTAACGTTAGATGGCATGTTCACCTGGTGGCACGGTTACCTAGATAACTTCTTCTTTGCAATATTATTACCAGATTCCAATAACTTTAATAGAAACTAGAAAATAGATGAGACGAGGTTTTTAACGATTAAAGATACTACTTTACAATCAAAATTTTACCAAAATTCATTTGT